TAGTTATTTTGCGATGCCTTTTTTTAAGCAAGCTGTTTAGTGTTTTTTTCGTTCTTCGTTCTAAACACGTGTTTCTATATCTAATCTATCTATACATATGCAAAATATATTCATTTAATGAAAACAAGAAATACCCTAGAAAGCAGATTGTATATTATGTAGATCATAATAAGCTATGAACAGTCTTTAAAGACTTTGGGCTCGCAACTTAGTGTCGTTGAGATACCATATTACAACTAAGTTTAGAATTTCAACTTGAAACTTTGTATAGTAATTATTTTAACGAGGATAGTTTATTGAGAAAGTTTCAGATCTTCTGACTGTCTCTTTTGTAAAATAACAAACAGAAGAGATCTAGAATTTCCACATAAATTTATGCCTACTAAGGCTTCTTACAAAGCAATATTTCAATTCGGCATCTCTAACTTAGATTGTGTGATGCCTCAGAGAAAGACCATGGTATTGTGCTTCAAAACTGCTGTATGAATCCGTAGCTCAGTAGCAGTAAAGTAGGATTATTGAGAATTGAAATATATTTTTACTCTTGAATCCATCCTACTAGGCAATTGTTATGAAGTTCAAAATAAACAGCTACAGAATAAGAAATATGGAATATATCAACAAAAAAAAACGCGTAAGTGTATGGCATGATCATACTGTTATTAGCATTTCAAAATAGTTCTTCCCAGCAGTCATCCTATTCCGCGATGTTGCACATTGCGGAATCGATTCCGCTTCTGGAATCAGCTCCATCTGGTTCCGGAATTACCCTGAAGCTTGACTTCATTCGATTCCGGAATGCACTCGAATAACTCCTAGCGATTCCGGAATCTTTATGTCTCGTATGATTCTATAAAGTTTTATCCATCAAATGATTATCCGATTCCGGAACCCAATTCCGGAATCGAATGAACCCCGAATCGCTAGCAGTTACTCGGAATGGCAAGCAATCCCTAGTGATTCCGGAATTGCATCCGATTCCGGAATTCCATATCACCCTAACCCTGAGTATTCCTTGTAAAGAGACAGATAAATTTCTAAAATAGCTGAGCGATTCCGAAACGCAATTCCGGGAATTATATCGAAGCGGAATTGGACGGAATCGGGTGGAATCAGACGAAATTGGAAGGAATCGCTAGCGATTCCCAGCGATTCCGCCGCATTCCGAATTGCATTCCATTTTCGAAATCGAAAGGAATTGGATGGAACTCCTAGGAATTCCGCTCGATTCCGTGTGAGTCCGCTTCGATTCAATTCCCGAAATCGCTCACTTTAGATATTTATCCACCTCTTTACAAGGGATGGTGTGGGTGAGGGTGAGAAGTAATTCCGGAATTGGATGAGATTCCGGAATCAGATGCAGTTCCAGAATCGCTCACTTGTCTTAGATATCTATCTATCCCTATACAAGGCATGGTGTGGGTGAGGGTGAGACGGAATTCCGGAAATTACATTGCAGCGGAATCGGGCGGAATCGAGTGGAATTAGACGGAATGGGAAGGAATTGCTAGCGATTGCCAGCAATTCCGCCGCATTCCGAATTGCATTCCATTTTCGGAACCGAACGGAATTGGATGGAATTCCGTCTGATTCCGTCTGATTCTGCTTCGATTGAATTCCTGGAATTCCGTTCCGGAATCGCTCACTTATTTTAGATATATATCTGTCCCTATACAAGGCATGGTATGAGTGTGGGTGTGGATGAGATGCAGTTCCGGAGTCGGATGCGTTTCCGGAATTGGATGCCATTCCGAAATGGAATGTAATTCCGAAATGCAGTGCAATTTGGAATGGGATATGTTTCCGGAATCGAAGGCAATTTCGGAATCAGATATGATTCTGGAGTTAAATGCAATTCCGGAATCGGATAGAACGAATTTCGGGGGCGGAATCGATTCCGCGATGTGCAACATCGCGGAATAGGATGTATTCTCTAATTAAGAATCATGACACATGGATTTGTTAGTTCGAGACTTTTTTCGTTCTACATTTGTCCATCGTGTAAATCAAAATAACGGAATTTGTCATTCAATAAAAGTTAAGGAAATTGATAATTAGCAATTCATCGTGCCACTTGCCGTATGATATAAAAGATGATTTGTATGTTTTGGTCAATCGGTTTGAAATCAAATGATAACCGAATAGACATATTTCTACTCGATTCAATTTTCAGTTCACTTAGAAAGCACTCTTTATGCAATCGTCATCGAGATTATTCTCTAACAGAAACAAATCTCTTTTCATGTTCATCATGAATTTATAGTTACATCAAGTCTGTAATACACGAAGAGCGAGCAATACTTAGCACCTAAGAATACGAGTGCCTATGAAAAACTATGTTTTTGTAGATATGACCATAAGCAATATATAATTTAATTTAAGATCTAATGTATTCAGAGACCTTTTTTAAATTTTTAAGAAACTGAGTTAGTCTTGTAGTTACTTTCATCACTTTTAGAATAATCGTCTAAAAGATTTTATTTTTTCCTAAAGGTCAGCTTGAGATCATCAAGTATCTGATTGAGACGAGTGGGCTCGAAGTGGACACGATTGGTGATCGTCGACTTACACCTTTGCATGTTGTTAGACCTTCTCCTTTTTATTTTCTTCCCTTTCAATCGACAAAAAAAACAACAACTGAATGCAAAACAAAACAACGAGAGAAACAAAGCATCCAGGAATGTCAGTCTCTCTTTCTCTTATCCCCTGCCCTCTCTTGTTCCATTCTTTATCTTTCTTTGTCTGCTATGCATACGACTGAGAAAGAAGAGAACGAATGCCATCCATATACAATGATGATATCATGAGGGAACGTATATCACCTCCTTATGTCAGGAGAGACATCTCATGACATAACACATGTAGCCTGTGAAAATGTATATCTTAACATAGTAGAATACCTTCTCGACAAGCATGCATCAACTATATTACGGAATGCTCGATGCTACAATTGTTTAGAAGTAGCCATTACTAATGGACAAGCAGAAATTGTTAGAATCCTTTTCGAGCATCCAACATGGCGAGAAACGATGTGAAATGCTCAACCAATTGATAATACTGAAGCTTATGATACTCCCATGCGAAAATTAATCCGATATTTACCTGATGTGGTTATTTGGGTAATTGAGAACAAACTTACAAGTGTCATCGGTGGACCAGGACGAAAAATTTGCAAAACTGTTTATGATTATGAATTTTATGAAGATATGTGCGCTGTGAGGGATTGGTATACTAAAAGGTTAGTATCATAGTGAAATTGTTTGTTATTTGCATTCGAGAAGAACAAAATAAAATTCTTATGAGAAAATTGTTTGAGAGTCTAAATATCGGTTTTTCCTTGTAACTATATACTAGTCAACATTTTAATACGAGTAATTGATGATAATAGCTTCACCGCTTTAGGTTGCTTCTGTCATTAAAAAGGAATATTTCAGAAAATTTCGTGTTTTGATTTATGTATATTTTTCGCTGATTGACAATCTATAACTGCTTAATATTGTATGATTGTCATGAATATCATAACTATCTCGTTTCAAAATGATTTACAATCTATATAGCTTCAATTATGTACCGATTGACAATCATTACATCTTTCATCGATCAAATTCAAAGAGCAAGATGTTCATGTCAGGTTCTTGTTATTCATTCCATGTTTTTTTTTCAAAACATTTTAGGGAATGGAGGTAAAATCAGTTTGCAAGATAAAAGAGGAGCTCTTTTTATGTTGTCTATGATTCTAAATTATCTCTGAACCTTTAAAAATGTTAATACAATTTCGAAAGATTGTTATCTTACTCAAAGTTCCGTCAAGAATAAAATCAACTGATTCAAGAAACTTCCCTAAATAATACAAAAGAACAGCAAAAATCATTTTTTATATTTTATATTATGTGATATTTCGGTATCTATTCACAAACACCATCATCAGACAGAGAACACCACCAACATAAACCTATCACACAATTATATCAAATCTAATATGATCTAATGTAGTGTGTGTAAGATAATGTATTCACACTTTAGTATAATAGTGGTTTATTTATTGATGAGATAGGAAAAATATCGAACAGAAAGAGATTATTCGAAAGAAAATCGTCCGAGTGGTCGCTTTTTATGTATCATGTGTAGATCGGAAATGGGATGGGTAAAAGAAGACGCCAGTTGGCGGGAATCAGAGGAAAGATGGTGTAGATTGTTAGTTGGCATTGTTTTTTTCTTTGTGAAACTGCTTGTGTAGTTGCAGTGGAAGGTATGTTTGAAGCTTCTGTGCATTTTTTTAGTTGTGTTCGGAGGTTTGTTTTTCTAAAAGAAGTAGTGGAAAGTGATTTGTTGGAAAAAAAGTAAATGAGAAACGTATTATTGATGGTTTTTTTTATGTGGCTGATATTACTTTCGGAAGGAAGATTAACATTTGGTTGCGAAAACAGTGTATTTTGTGTTGAAGTTTTAGATGTTATTGTTAATTGGAAGATGAGAGGTACTGAGGTAAGAGTTGTGTAACTTAGGGTCCGCTAACGTACTGGTGCTGCTATGGGTTTTTGTTCTGTCTGTTGTTGAATGCGCATGTATTTATGTTTTTTATTCTGTTGGTATTTCATATGGGTTAAAGTATGACAGAGAACAAAATTCCTTTCGTTCTTGTTCTTTCTTATCAGGTTTCAGTTTTTTTGTTATAAATACCGTAAGTTGTTCCTCATCTGTTTCACTGCTCGTATCTCTAGCTAAGCACTGTCGAAATCTCAACTGTGTATTAAGTTAATCTAAAAAAGCATTTTTTTTTCATTGTCAGTCGTTATTATGGCGTTACTCGATAATATGAGTATTGGTGGTTACCTAAATTATCATTATGGTCGGCATATAGTACGGATATACGATTCTAAAAAAAAGCACATGAACGCTATCGGTCGTTAATACTCGATTTGATGTTCCTTAAGTGCTCTCGATCTAGAGACATTATTCCTAGATTTTTGTGGTTTAAAACTGCAAATGAAAGGCTCGCAATGTCTTCTGCGTACAGAGAATGTCAAAGACGTCTTTTACGAGCTGAAATTGGTTTTAAATATCGTGATCTACGTATTTTGAAAAAGAATTACATGTATGATCTGAATGAGTTGAAAGAAAATGTACCTGATAACATATTTCAACACATTTCCAAATATATTATTAATCGTTCCCGTGCATTATTATATATGAAGGAAGATAACTTACAAAGAAAGATTAATTCATTTCAATCACGTCAAAGAAGAGTACCTCGTATTGATCAAAATGTTGTTAAAAATTTATCATCTCGTATATTATCACATGATGAAACTGATTGCCTCGCCCATGGATTAGATTATGGTCTTGTTCCTAAAAAAGCTGATGATATGAATATTGTTAGTAATATTGAAAACTTCTTTCATCGAATAACTGATATTTCTCAACATCATAAAAAGCTGATGTCTGAAGTTACTAATAAAGATACAGTTGATGGTTGTGATGTTTGTGTTCTTGATTCAAAAGAAATGACTTTGGCGAGCAGTTTTCGTTCTATTACTGACTGATTTCGTCATCAAGCTTATCGTTTTGCACAATTACAGAATAGAATTAATACTGAACAGCAAAAATATCGCCATGTATTATAGAACTTAAAAGAAGATAAATCGATCGTTGTTACTCGCCCAGATAAAGGCAGAGGTGTTGTTTTGTTAGATAAAGTCGACTATGTATCGAAAATGCGAATCTAGGCCACTTGCCCGCAGAACATATGCTCGCCGGACAGATCCCCGCAAGACACTTGCCCGTATGATGCTTGCCCGCACCCTCACCCTCAACGTTGTCCATTGCGGGCACGTATCGCACGGGCAAGTGTCTTGCGGGCATCTGTCCGGCGGGCAACTGTCTAGCAGGCAAGTGGCCGACACCCCGAAAATGCATACTATACTGAACGATTCAACTAAATTTTCGTTTTTGTCATATGATCCTACAATTACCCGAGAAACTAAATTAATTAAATTGTTGAACAGACTACTTGATGAAGGTAATATTTCTAAAGAATTTTATAATTTGGTGAAACCTTTTGGTTCGATTCCCGGACGTCTTTATGGATTGCCGAAAGTACATAAGGAAGATGTTCCACTTCGTCCGGTTGTTTCAGCTATTAGAACGTTTAACTATGGACTTGGGAAAGCTCTATCACAACTATTATCACAATTTATCGAGAAAAAAATATGATTCGTGATTCGTTTACATTTGTTCAAGAATTACTCGCGCTACCAAAGTCTATGTCTCAGTACAAGATGGTATCTTTTGATATTGCTAGTCTCTATACTAATGTACCACTTAATGAAACAATAGAAATAATCCTTAAACGTTTATATGATGGTCATGCTAAACCTCCTGCGATTAATCAAGAAGATATGAAGGAGTTACTTGATTTAGCAACAAAAAACTCTCATTTTCTCTTTAATGGACAGTTATATGATCAGATAGATGGAGTGTCAATGGGATCTCCTTTAGCTTCACTTTTCGCTGAAATTTTCTTACAAGATTTCGAGAGAAAATATTTGTCGTGTCCTGAAGATATGGGTATCGTTTACTGGAAACGTTATGTGGACGATACTTTTGTATTATTCGATCCGAAATTTTCTGTTGATCACGTTTGTAATGCTCTATCACAATACCATCCGTCGATTAAATTTACTGTTGAAAAAGAAAAAAAAGATGAAGATGAAAAAAAGAAAAAGAGAAGGAGAAAGAACAAAAACAAAAAGAACAAAGAAAAAAAAGATGGAGAAGAGAAGCCGGACAAAAACAAAAACAAAAAGAACGAAAAAGACGCAGAAAAAAAAGATGAAGAAAAAGAAAAAAAAGATGGAGAAGAGAAGCCGGACAAAAACAAAAACAAAAAGAACGAAAAAGACGCAGAAAAAAAGATGAAGAAAAAGAAAAAAAAGAAGATTTCATGCCACATGTACTACCATTTCTTGATGTCCTGGTACGACGCCATCCGGGTGGCGGCTTCGAAACCCGAGTCTATCAAAAACCTACATTCACTAGACTTACCACTAAATGGGATAGTTTTGTGCCCAAAACTTATAAGTATAACGCATTATCAGCAAGGGTATATAGAACTATAAAAATCTGCTCGTCATATACCGGTCTACATCGCGAATTCGAATTTATTCGATCATTAGCAATCAAGAACGGATATCCTATTTCTGTCATAGATTCCATTATTAGGCGCCAACTTAACCTTATATATACTCCTTCTACTCCTATATCACTACCATCACTCACTACCGATACTGTTGTTCTTCATGTACCTTATTACGGATCACTAAGTCAAGTGTACGCAAAACAGATTATCTCCGCTACTAATAAGAACTATCCACTAAAAAAAATTAGACTTATATATGACGTGAAAGAACGTGTTGGAAGTGGTTTTACTTTGAAAGATCCGATTCCCAATCAAATGGAAGAAGGAGTTGTTTATGAAGCCACTTGTCCTGAATGTACAGCTCATTACATCGGTAAAATCTTTCGACGTTTTAAAACCCGTGTACATGAGCATCTTAATTATCAAAAACAGGACTTATGTATAAAAAAAACTAGTAAAACAAAACATTTCGTAAAACGAAACAGCTCAACCATTAAAACACATGTTCAACGTAAAGGACCGATTACGAGATCGCAAACAGGAAAATTACCACCGCTACCAGCTCAATCCATTCAACACGAAATTGCACAACTTCTGAAAAATCCCGAAATAATCCAAAAAAATACAAAAATACCTACCCCTAAAACCGCTATAGCAAAACATTACTATACCACAGGTCATACATTTACCAATGATAACTTCCATGTTCGACTAAAAGAGAGATATAAATATAAACTTTCAATCAAAGAGTCCTTACTAATTAAAAGAAACAAACCACAACTGAATAAAGGCATTAGATCTATTCCCCTCTACATTTATGCCGATGGAATCGAAACAAACAATAAAAATAAACAAGTACAAAAACAAACTTCTGATACGTCCACCCATATCACGAATCCCGACTAACTCAAAAAAAGCACATACTTCCATCTATAACACAACGAATACACAGAAAACAGAACCGTATGACTCATTCATTCAATACAAAAAAAAACATTCTCACACACACATGCTTTCCCTGTACTCAATATCTAGATACCCATACTTTCACTTAAATACTACCTATTCTCGAATCATTACCAAAACGCATCCACTTCTGATCCATCGCTACCTCAACTAACCACCAAAATTCAAAACATAAAAAAAACTTTCATTCTCCCTCTCCTTCCCTGTTCATTTTACATTTACTGACAAATGCATACCATAAACGCAATCTTATTATCCATTTCTCACCATACCTTACTTCCCTCAACATCCCAACTCCTTCATTCTCGCTTCAACATACAAAAAGTACAGGTACATAAATCCAACGTTATCCCAGCGACCGTCTGATGATGGTGTCTGTGAATAGATACTGAAATATCACATAATATAAAATATAAAAAATGATTTTTGCTGTTCTTTTGTACTATTTTATTATGTTATAGAATTATCCATTTATTTTATCTTTAACTTCCCTAAAGCCTTAAATTGTTATTTTTTATTCAAATTGATTCTGTTTTTGAAATCATGTATCAGTTAACGGATAATGAAATTTTGCAATAAGTTCTATTTTTTGCCACTTTAAAATTTTAGAAAAGAAGATCCATTAATACAAATCCTGTTTTTTCGGCTATTATTTACATCTAACCATCTATCTTCATATAAAGTAGCAGTTTAGCAGGGATATATCTTTGCAAGAAACACTCTTTCGTTAATCAAACAATAAAATTATTTAGAAAGATGTTTGTCATTCATAACAAGACCTCCAACATTCACTTCCATTCTTAGTTATATTTATTGAGTGTCTCATCAAGAATCAGCTATATGTCGTGGAGACTCTATTATGAAGTATGTTATCGTATTGCCTACATTGAACGATTTCTTCTTAGACTTTGATTAATATCAACATATTAAAAGACAACATAGACTTTGTTCGAAAATTCAAGAGATTGAAAAAGTAATGGAAGAAATATTGAATCATCATGTTTGATTTTACATATAATTAGATCACCAGTTTTTCGTTTCTAGGAAGATTCAATTAAAATTCTTTTTCCTTGCAATGACTGTCAAAAAGAAAATCAATATGTTTACATTTATCGATCTGTTTCGATGATGATCCGAAGGATACCTTACCCAGAACGAAGACTGCTCTTTTCATACCATCAGATAATCTCAATAGTGTTTTCTTTTAACAATTTAGAAAAGAAGTGTCATCTAAAACAGCGATTTTCTATAGGCTTACTGTTGAAAAGTCTGTGATTTAAGTGAGAAAAGACATAATCATTTTTTGAAATGTTATACATGGATTTTCATAAGACATAATAATACAAATTATTTTAAATGTAAAGCAATGAAAGAAAAATGTATATATAAATCAACCATTGATTTATTTCAAGTTGAACTTTTTCTTTTCCGAAAGCTGTAAAGACAAATAGATGTCAAGAGCTATAAACGAGTGAAAATGAAACAGAAATACATTAGGAGAAAACAAAAAATATGTAATAACTAATTTTTTGAAATTTTCTCAAATGTTGAATTTTCGGTCATGAGAACACCATCATCATAACATTAGTTAATATATGATTGATAGAATTATTCAATTTTTAACTTTTAAATTTTTAAAAACAATAATATTGTTGTTGTTTAATGTGAGTTGTCCAGCCACATCTTTTTATGAATGTTTGTTGAAGTTGTTGATCACCTGTAATATTTTCAATAACAAATTTAACATAAAAATTCATCACAAGTTACAATTTTTATGTTAATTGTTGAAGTTATTGAACAAGTTGTATCATTTTTAAAATATAATTTAACAATGTAATACGATTTTTTCTCTAACTAGAGAAAGACATTATGTACCATCTCCGTTGTTGCTATAGTTGAAAGACATAAACATTTTTTGAAATGTTATACATGGATTTTCATAAGACATAATAATACAAATTATTTTAAATGTAAAGCAATGAAAGAAAAGTGTATATATAAATCAACCATTGATTTATTTCAGCTTGAACTTTTTCTATTCCAATAGCTGTAGAGACAAATATATGTCAAAAGCTATAAACAAATGAAAATGAAATAGAAACACAAATTAGGAGAAAACAAAAAATATGTAATAAGTAATTTTTTGTGTATAGAGTATAGCAACAACATACATGGTACATAATTGTCTTTCTCTAGTTAGAGAAAAAATCGTATTACATTGTTAAATTATATATTAAAATAAATGCGAAAACCTCGGATTTAAATCCGAGTGTTATGTGTACTTCAAAAAGTGAAAAGGTACATTCACTGTGCTTTTTATCACTAAATTGCAAGGAGAAAATACAGACGTGCTNTGGTTATTAGTCGAAGAACAATATAAATGATAATTAATGTCGACGAAAAGACCTGTGCACCACTCATGGATATTCACTTCAATTC